TCCCCATGCCCTTCTGACACGGCTTCTTTTCTCTTCACTCGTGTTCGTACTAGTGCAGCTCTCTGCAGGTGGTCTATTCCCCCGAATGTTCATAAAATAGTTTAGGTGTAATCCTGATTCTCTTCTCAATCTGATATTAGTTTGTTTCCTCCACCAAACTACATTTGAGGTTTGTATGTACCATTATTGCTTAACTTTAGTCTCTGAGAGAAAATGGAGTAGGAAGAACTGGAAAAACTGAATAAAACAGTCTCTGCTAGAAAATGTGGGTTCTGATCTCTCTTTGGGAAGCACTGGTGTACCTAATTCTGCAATAGGAAATTCACAGAATCTTAAAAGTGGGTGATATCACCCTCTGGGGGATACTCAAACAATCCAAGGAACCTGCAAAAACAGATACCTACACTTTATCCTCAATCACTCACTGCGATTGATTTGATTCCACTGTATTATCAACCCTATAGGAAAAGGTAGAACTGCTTATGGGGGCTTCTGAAATGGTCGTTCTTTATGGGAGTAGAAAGCCTGTCTTTCTCCCAATTGTGGGCTATATACAGTACAAATGTTTTCATTGCTAAAGGGCACTGAATAATTATTCCCCCCTGAAAAGGGTGTGTTAGGCCAAGTAAATTTGGGAACCTATGAACTACACTTAATTTTAGGTATAAGTCATTCCCCTAGATGACACTCTCCAACAATGTATCTTTTTTTTTTTTTCCATTTTACTCTACCTCATATTAGATTCCTTTTGCATCCATTTCTCTGTGGGGTGGGATGGGGTGGGGAGGGGTGGAGTTTAGAGGTCTTATTCAGTTGTTTTCTCTCATCTACATTGTGGAAAATGTGAGCACTCTCAGGTTTTTATTGATTTGTCATTTGGGCTTTTGAAGAGTTAGTGGCTAGGGTTAGGGGCTGAATCATGGTTGCTCTCTATTCTATACCATAACCTCCTATATTTTCTTGGCACAATATTTTAAAGTTTATTGCATTATGTTATGCTACTTAGGTTGAAGATAGTGACTTTGGAATAACCTTTTGTCTTGTAAGTATTTGGGAGGGCATTTTAATGTGCCCTTCATGAAGTTGAATAATGCTCCCTGTCCCCTCATCCTAGGCTCCAATTGTTTCTTTGACTCAAGGCCAAGGCATTTTATTCTACCATTGGTAAACGCTGAGTTTTCACAGTGTATTCAAACAGCTAGCTGTGATATGAAAGGGGTCAACATGTGTTTCCCTTGAAGTGTCCCCCAAGAATATCTTGTTGTCTATGAAAGAAGATATTACTTTAACCCTTTATATTTATTACTAAATGCTTATCACTTTCAGTATTTGGGCTCCCTCAAAATCAGTGTTCTAATTAGAAAACTGTAGCTAATCAGGCCAAATGCTAATAGTTGTGATTTATCTTGCAACAGGGGAACAGCCAGCATTAACAATGAAAAGATCTGTAGAGGAGAGAGTTTTTTTTAAACCAAACCAAACAAAAAAAAAAGCCCAACATTCTCATTATTTTTACCATAAGCTGATTGGGTTCAGTATTATGCTATAAATAGCCCTTCTAATTAATGACTATGTGTTTGAAAGTCATCCTGAGAATCACATTTTAGGAAGTTTTACCTCTCAGAGTTATAGACCATATTCTAGTATCAATGACCAATGGATTTTAATATAACATCCAAGCTGGATCTACCTATTCACAAGGACCATATCACATCATAGAGTACCAAGACACTCTTTAAGCTTCATCCTAATAGATAGAGAATTTTCAATTATCATCTCAACTGTAATTAAAAATTTTGATCATGAGTAGGCCAAAATGTTTCACTAAGACTTGGTGCTCACAATCATTTCCCCAGCCACAGCTTAAAGTCAAAAAGTTTACATCAAAGGCATGTGTTTCCAATTAGCTGAACAAGGTTCTTAAAAAACTTCCAATAATCACTTTTCATATAATTAATAGAATTCTTTGTCATTTTAAACTGACTGGACACTCGGAAGTGGGAAAGTGATATATCTAATAGAATGAATGACAGTTTTTCAGAGAACACTCCCAAATGGACTGACTTTGGGAAATGCCAATCAGTGCTACAATTAATATAATTTGTCAGTTGAGAGCTTGTCATTCACTGTAGAAGATTATTAGACATATTATGTATTTTCTCCTAGTATTTTGCTTAATATTACATACTTATGCCATACTCTACTAGTAGGTGCAAAGCTACTAGTAGGTCTCTGAACCTGCCATATTATGTTATGGCACCAACCATTAAATCTAACATTTTCTCCATTTCTCAAAACCACCTCAAGATCTAACTTGCATGTACTCTCCACTTGCATTAAATCTGACCACCACCACTCCCTCTAATTTCATAAAACTGATTACTCCCCTTTTGGGGCTCCCATTATACTTCTACATGTTTCTTGCTTAATGCCAGTAATTACCTTTCAATTATTTTGTTTCTTGTCCATATCTCTCCAAATATAAAACTTTGTCTTATTCAAATCTACCATACTTATATGCTCATTGAAAACAAAATTGATTACTAAACATCTCTTTGACACTCTTTACCAATACTTCATGCCAAGTCACAAAGACATGGATTTTACCTTTGCTCTCAAGAAATTCTTGAATTAGTGGGAAAAACAACTGGGTGGGGAAAAAAGTCTGGGTACATTAGACTAAATCCATGGAAACTCATATGTATAAGAGAGAGTTTTATATAAAGGGTAAGTGCACATCAAGAAAACATCCCAACCCAGTGCTGCCAAAGCCCACAAGTCCAACAATAGACCATTTGTCCGACACCAATCCATAAAATCCTCCTCAATCTCACAAAATAAACACAATGCTGCTTACTGCAGGAGGAAAGCCGAATCAGTGAATGTGTAAGCTTCTCAGCACTGGCAGGGGTGTCCACATGGCTGCTCCATCACCCAGGACTGCATCAGGTTTGGTCCATGCTGCTTCTCCTTGGAAATGCGAGCCTTGCCAGCTGAAGCAGGGAACTGGCTAAGGCAGCTGCACCCTGGTCTGACCATTAAAATGCAAGAGACCCAAGAATTAGAAAGGCGAGGCTCACCGAGCCATTTATCTCTCTGCCCTTCAATTAACACCCCATGCATTTATCGGCCAGGTTGGCACAATAAACCTTAACTATCTCAACAATTAAGCTCAGAAAGCCTAGGAGAGGAGTCTGGGCCCACGTTGAGGCTGAGTAACTAGTTGGTATGGCAGTGAATAAATACAAACTTCCTAGATTTTAATATTTCTTCTACTGTTTCATATTTCAAACACTGGTTTTTCGGTCATGCTTACTAATGCTTTTCAGATGAAATCCAAGCCTATAGTTCTCTAACTAAGATACACTAGCATGGATCATAATAAAATGAAGACTTGGGTTAAATATGCCTGGGAAGGGGCCCGGGTTCTGTATTGCTAACATGCTCCTGGGAAATGTCAATAGTAATGATCCATAGACCACATTTTGTGTAGCAATAGTAAACAATTGTCATGTCAGCATATAAAATATTGTTGGTATTGCATGATTTTTTAAAAAGCTCTCACTAGTACCCACCAACACATTCTCCTGAATATAATTAAACATGATGAAGTTATACCAAGGGCGAAAGATTCTGCAGTGTCCCAGAATAAATAAAACACTACCAAACGCTTATTTCACAGTCTTAATTTTTTATTCTTGAAGTATTAAAGATCTATTTTTGCTTTGTAGATCTACTGCTACCAGATAACTGTAGTCTGAAAGTTTACCAAGATTTTCACACATATTATCTGCTTAAATCGTCTCATCTTAAGACCATAATATCTTAGGCCCTATATGTAAATTGAAGTTACCGTTTAACAAAATAGTAAAAATTAAATGATTTGTTTAAATGAAACAGTCATAAAGAAAATACTGTTTTATTAAAATCTTACCATCTTTGAAACAAACTCTATAAGGTTCACACTTATTCTTAATCTGTTCATTTTGAATTCTTTTTCCTGCCACAATGAGATCCCTGCTTGCGGTTCCTTCTCTTCGATGACTTCTTCCTCTCTTCATCACAATTCTACTCCAAACACAGTGTTTTTTGTTTAACTTCTCTCAGTCATATGTAGAAGACACCACAATTGTTCCTATCTGGTATTCAACTTAACTTTACTACAATAATATGAAATTTCAGAGACAGTCTCGGTTATTTGGCTTCTCGTTGCATATTTTTTTCCCGAGTACAGCATAGTGAATTAAACAAGAAATTGGATTGTTTCCATGTAGGTCAGATGGAAGTTATTGGAAGCCTTAGTTTACCCAGTGGCAGTTTCTCTATGTAATCTTGACAGTACTTATTGAAATTACCTTTCTTCCTTTTTGCTCACATAGATTAATTCCAAAGATGATGAAGGTGTCCTTGTTGGGTCCTGGGACAATATCTATGCCTATGGTGTCCCCCCATCAGCCTGGACTGGAAGTGTGGACATCCTGTTGGAATACCAGAGTTCTCAGAATCCAGTCCGCTATGGCCAGTGTTGGGTTTTTGCTGGTGTGTTTAACACTTGTAAGTATTCAACTCACTATCATTCTTTTAATGTAAAGGAGATTTTGTTTCATGAATTGTTATCTAACTGACAGAAAGACCTATCAACCCTTGTTGGCTCTCTAGATTTATATGTGAGTATTCTGGGATATAGTCAGTGCATAATTAAATTGTATAGGATCAAATGTGCTCATAGTTTTATTTTGAATGAAAATCTTGATAACGATATGCCCTTAATTTATTCCCCAGCTATAGAAGGGGCCATGGTAGGTGGTCTCATTTCCATTTTGATATAACTGAGTCTCAATAACCGCGAGCAATTTGATATCAGCTCCTAATGAACAACCTGTACCTTGCCAGGTACCCTTTGGGTCTTTAATTGACCCAACATCCAATCTGTAGGGAAAAACATAAGGGACAAGGATTGCACTCTTCTGCCTCATGCATTATTTTTTCAACTGGCATTCACCTCTCTAGGACCAGAAAATGTTATAGTTAATTCAGCGAATGTTTTTAAAACTTTGTTTTTTTCAGCATGCCTTCCATCTTGGTAATGATTTTCATTCACATGCTATTTTTAGAGCATTGGAGAAAACATTAAGGTCAAATTTGAATTTTCTTTCTGCTTATTTGCTAATAAAGAATGTTTGATCTAGTTAACAATCTTAAATCAGAAAAGAACATGTAGGAGGTAGGCCTGAGTTGGGCCTTTTTTTTTTTCTTTAAATGACTTTGAAACTTACCAATTCAGCTCAAATTGTCAACAGCTGAAGTCAGTGATGCAAGTAGACAGAAGCCACGCATCGTGTTTTTGGTTTTTCCCATGGCTTAATGCTTAGTAAAATTGTATTATTAAATAGTTTAGTTTATTCAAAACCTAAAAGAATATATACTCCTTAGGAGACCCCTAGTGGTGTAAATGTTAGGCATTGGGCAGCTATCAACACAGTTGGCAGTTCAAAAACACCAGCAGCTCTGAGGAAGAAAGCCTAGGCTTTCTACTCTCTTAAACTGTTACTGTCTCAGAAGCCCACAGGGGGTTTACTATAAGTCAGCATTGACTGAAAAAGTGCTCGGCTCCTAGCAAGGCTTGTATTTGAAGTTGTAGATGGAAACTTGAGCTTCATGATGAGGTAAGGTTTGGACTTAGTTCCCACCCTGAAGATTTCCAAGCCAAGAGTATGTGGAAGCTTCTTAATCCTGGTAGTCCCTCTTGAGAAAGTATCCTCTAACTCCACCAGTCCTTCCCCAGCCCAAAGTTTCATTTTCTTAGTGTAATTCCTCTAAGTTTGGAACCAGATAAAATAGTAAACACCTTATTCCCCTTCATACCTTTTGTATAAAAGGGTCATGAACTTTGTTCTTGAAAACTTGCATTGCTGGAAAATTGAGGAAAAGTAGAGGCACATTGTGGAGAAGTCAAATCTAAAGAGGAAAACTGGAGGATGAGATAATGGTACCAGCAAGTCAAGTATCATCTTCCTTACAGTTTGGGATAAGTCAAACTCAGGAACAATGGTTCTCACTCTCTGATAATGTAATAGTGGTAAGTCAGAAATGGAATTGGAGTGAAATGCTTCACTGGAAAATCTGTGACATGGACAGTGTTGTTGCTGTTGAATGTTGTTAGTTTCCCTCTAGGTCCTCAACTCATAATGCCACAGGTGCATGTATAGAAATGAAATGCTGCCCAGTCCCCCATGACTGGTTGTGGATTGGACTACTGTGGTCCACGAGGTTTTTGTGGCTGGTTTGCAGAAGTAGATTCTCAGACCTTTTTTCCTAGTCGGATTTAGACTGTAAACTTTGCTGGAGCATGTTCAGCATCATACCAACACTAATATATGGGTGGTGATTCAGCTTGATGTGTATTGTCTAGAAATATAATATGGGTCTCTTCCATGGTAGTTGATAATTATAATTATACACCTCTGACATGAATAACTCATTGTCATAGGGGCAATTATTACTCCGAACTGCAATAGAATGGAGTATAACTGCCTGTAGGGATCCAAGACTCTAAATTCTATGGGAGTAGAATGTCATAGGGCTCTCACACTCAGCAGATGGTGGTTTGAATTGCAGACCTTTGGTTGAGCAGCCGAGCACTTAACCGCTGCACCACCAGAGCTCTTTCTGGGATTAATGTTGTTGTTAGATTATTAGGTGCCATCCAGTACATTCTGAGACATAGTGACCCTATTTACAACAGAACAAAACACAACCTGATCCTGCACCATCTTTACAATTGTTGCATGGTTTGAGACCTCTTCTTCAGCCATTGTGTCAATCATTTCATTGAGGGTCTTCCTCTTTGGCCTCTACTTTACCAACCATCCTACCAACCACTTCCCCAGGGAGTGGTTCCTCCTGATAGCTTGTCCCAAATACGGGAGACAAATTGTCACCATTCTCCTTTCTAGCAGCATTCTAGTTATACTTCTCACAAGATATGTGTTCATTTTTCTGTTAGTTCATGGTGTAGTTAATACTCTTGGTAGAGTTGTGAGCTATGCATATGGCTGCCGACCAGAGGGTCAGTAGTCCTAAACCCTACAAACTCTATGGGAGAAAGATAAAGCTTTCTATTCTTGTAAATAGTTTATCTCATAAACCCACAGGGTAGTTCTACTCCATCCTATAGGATCCCTGAGTCATAATCCACTCCATGGTAATGAGTTTAATTTTTGCCAGCACCATAATTCAAAGGCATCAATTCTTCTTCAATCTTCCTTATTCATTTTTCAGTTTTTATGCACATGAGATGATTGAAAATACTATAGCTTTGGTCAAGTGTGCCTTAGTCCTCGAGTGACATCTTTGCTTTTGAACACTTTAAAGAGGAATTTTGCGGCAAATGTACTCATTGCTTGATATTTTGACTCATATTTCTCTGGGTATTCATTGTGGATGCACATTAATTGAAATCCTTGAGAACTTAAATAATTTCTCATGATATGGTTTAAGGATCTAATTGTAAGACTTTTTGTTTTCCTTGTGATGAGGCATTATTCATGCTGAAAATTGTAGTTTTATATGCATCAGTAAGTGTTTCAAAATCTCTTCACTTTCAACAAGCACAGCGATGTCATCTCCATATTGCAGGTTATTAGTGAGCCTTTTTCTAATCCTGATGCCATGCTCTTCTTTATTTACCTATTTATTTATTTTAAAACATTTTATTGGGGGCTCTCACAGCTCTTATAACATTCTATACATCAATTGTATCAAGCATATTTGTACATATATTGCCATCATCATTTCCAAAAGATTTTCTACTTGAGGCCTTGATATAAGCTCCTCTTTTTCCTCCTTCCCTCCCACATGTTCCATCCCTCCTCTCCTTGATCAATTATATATTGCTATTTTGTATCTTACACTGTCCATTGTCTCCTTTCACCCACATTTCTGTTATTCTTCCCCTTCGGGTGGTGGGGGCATATATCCAATCTTGTGGTGGGTTCCCCCTTTCTCACCCTTCCCCCTCTCTAACCAACCAACTATCCTCATGATATCGCTACTCCCATCAACTGTTCCTGAGAGGTTTATCTTTCCATAATCCCATGTGTCATGAGCTCTTATCTGTACCAATGTGCATTCTCACATCTAGCCAGATTTGTACGTTAGAAGTGTGTCATGGTAGTGGCAGGGGACAAGCATTCAAGAACCAAGTGAATTATGTGTGATTCCTTGGTACTATACTGTACCTTGGTTGAATCACCCCTTCCTTATACTGCTTCGGTGGGGGGATATCCAATTATCTACAGGTGGGCTTTGGATCTCCACTCCAACCCCGTTTTTGCTTCGATATAGTTGTTTATCTTGAATCTTTTGATACCTGTTACCTGATCCCAGCAACACCTCATGATCACACAGGCTGGTGTGTTTATTCCATGTGAACTTATTTGCTTCCCTGCTAGATGCCCACTTGTTTGACTTCAAGCCTTTAAGACCCCAGATGGTATACCTTTTGAGAGCCAGGCACTATATGCACTCTTTACCACATTTGCTTATGCACCCATTTTGCCTTCAGCAACCATGTAGGAAGGTGAGTATCAAAGAGTGCCAGGTTACCAGAACAAAGTGTTCTTGTATTAAGAGAGGCCCTGAGTAGAGGCCCAAAGTCTGTCTGCTATATTAATGCTTATCATATAAAAATAGGTACATTTGCCTCTATTCCTTTCATTATAAATTAATATATTTACATACACACATGCCTATAGCTATACCTCTAGAAATAGCATTTGATGCCTATTTTTTTACTCTTTCCTTTCACCTTCCTCCTATCCCACTATTATGCTCACCCTCCATTCAGCTCTCAGTATTTCCTCTCTGATGCATTGCTCTTGATCAAGCCCCACCTGGCATTATACTCCCTCCGCACCATCAATTTTAGATCTCTTGTTGTTCCCTTATTTCTGAGTATGTTGGCTGCCCACACTCCTCCTCTCCCAGGTTCCCCTGGAACCACCAGTCCTATAGCTTTCTCTTCATGATTGTTTCTATCTGATATATCAAGACATAGGGCAAAAGAAAAACAAAAAATATAATACAACAAACAAACAAAACAAGACAGAACAAGAGGAAAACAACAACAACCAACAGATAGTTCCAGGTCTGTCTACTGAGCTTTATGTTAAGTTTTCCGATCAAGTCTGATGAAGTGCCAAGCCCTGTCACCCAAGTCAGAAGTCTGAATTCAGGATTCCTTAGGGACATGGCTATTTTGCTCCCCTTGCTGCCCAGTTGCACTGACTTTGCGTTTCACCCCACAGTGTATAGGGCAGACCAGGTACACTTTCCACACAATGTCTCGAGTGCTGTCCCCTGTAGTGCTGTGGGTCAGTGAAGGAACATTATGCCTCATAATGGGGGCGGCCCTATGGTCCTTTCTATGCACTGGCTGCAGGGGCTTGGTGGGCTATGATGAGGTTCTCTCTCGCTCCCTCTCTCTTTCTCTCTCTCCCTCTTAGTTTGCTCCTGTGTGGCCCGGACAGACCCGCCTCTCTCCCTGGACTATG